TGAGGAGAAGGTGGGAGAACTCAAGGCACAAATCTGTACACTGAGGAACATCAGGGAGGCAGAAAGCTTTTTAGACGTGAAGGAAGAGGGGCTCCTGAGAGAACGACAAGAGCTAGCAAATCCTGAGCAAGAGGAAGGAAGTAACAAGGAACAGGTGGGTGAGTGGAAGAATGTGACCTTGAGGAGTAAGGTAATCAGGAAACGCTCACAGCCAGTGGAGCTGCAAAATCGATACCAGCCGCTTCTGATGATGGAAGATCAGAATAGCACACTCCGAGATCAAAAGGATGTGACTGACATACAAGCACATAGGCAGAGAAGGAACGAAGCTATCCCACGGAGGAAGAGACGAGTAGTGGTGGTTGGTGACTCCCTACTGAGAGGGACAGAAGAAAATGTATGCAGACAGGACAAGGAATCTCGAGAGGTTTGTTGTCTTCCTGGAGCGTGTATCCGAGATGTGACTGAGAGAATTCCAAGACTGGTCAAGACCTCTGATCGCTACCCGCTCCTGCTGATCCATGTGGGTACAAACAATACTGCCCAAAGAAACCTTGAATGGATCTCCAAAGACTACGAGGCTCTGGGCAAGAAGGTGAAAGGCACAGGTAGTGTTCTCCTCCATTTTACCTGTTGAGGGCCATGGAGCTGGAAGGGAGAACAGGATACTGGAGGTGAATGGCTGGTTACGTAGATGTTGCCGTCGAGAGGGATCTGGCTTCCTGGACCATGGTATGTACCTCCGACATGAAGGACTGTTGGCGACGGATGAGGTGCACCTTACAAAGAATGGGAGGAATGTCTTTGCTGGAAGAATTGCGAACCTGATCAGGAGGGCTTTAAACTGAAGACATGGGGGGTGGTAAGAAAAAGTCTGATGTTGTGCAGCATCCCCGACACTAAGTTCAAGAAGGGGAGTGACCAGAGAATAAATGAATGGGTGAGAGGTGAGTTCAGTAATTTTCATGTAAAATCGAAGAAACCTACGATAGGAAAGGATGTCTGTAATCTGCTATGTCTTTATACTAATACACAGAGTATGGGAAATAAACAGGAGGAACT